CACTCTTTAAGAACAGTTCGTTTACCTTGCTTAGATGCTGGAACGACGTGGTCATCAGGTCATCGCTCGTATCGGCAAACTCATCATATGACTCCGATAGCCCACACTCAAGCAGAGAGTAGACTATCGGCTGCAAGTATTCGGGCAGGTTCCCCAACGAATCCAGCACTGGTGTGTCCTTCGCCTTGTCGGCAGCAACCGTCTTGTCCGCGGGTTCCTTGCCCCGACCTCCTTCTAACATCCCGCCTCGACCTTAGTGGTTCTTCCTCAGATTCGGTCTTTGACTCATCGGCCTGAATCAGCTTCCTCTTCTTCGACCGTTGGGCCAGAGTCTTCCGTCTCGGGCGAGCAGGTGGTGGCTAAGCGACCTGTTCTGTTCTGGTTGTTTCCTGCTCAGGATGGGACTGGGAAGGCGCGACAGTTCACACCGGTTGTACCGCTGTGGGGCGAGCAGCTTCGGTCGCCCTTTCTTTCCTCGATCGAGGGAAATTGCATGGTGCTCGTCGGGGCTGTTCAGACTCTTTCGGAGGCATGGTCACTGCATGCAAGTACATTAGTAACTAAACAAAAATTACTCTACGACCAGAAGGGAATCAGTGTAACTTACATTCTCGGGACTCTAGAGACGCGTTGTCACTAAAAAAATCGTACTTCCACAAGTTCGCGGTCGTCACGAGCTTCCTCGCGTCCCGACTTTCTTTTGGGAGGACCCCAAAAGACACGAACCTGTCCGGGTCGGTGAGCAGGTCTTGGCTGGTCGTCTTGTTAACTGTAAAGGAATGCAGGTCATTAGAAAAAGGAGGTGTACAGTTAATGAATCTAGCGAAAATGGACCTACTTGGTTTCTGAAAGCGGCAGCAGCCGTCGTAGCAGAAGAAGAAGAACTTCGTCTCGTAGGCCCTCGCATTGCTGGGATAGCTATGTATCCCTTTAGCGATGGTAGATCGCCGAGACAAGTAATAGGAGTCTTTGTCCTTACTCCTTTTGAGGTAATACACGACGCCGAGCTCCACCGCTGTTAGCTCGTTCAAGCCGCTCTCACGGCACTCGATGTATATCGCAACAGCGATGACATACGCGTTTGGCGTTAACTGCATTGGTGCGATCCCGAAGTGATCCAGGATCGACCTAATAAAAGGGTGGAAAGGAATCATCCCCCCACCCTTGAAGATCTCTTCGGAGATCGCAACTAGGTTATCAGAAGGATGCCACGACGATCGGGTGGCGTTAAGGAGCACTTCCGCACGGATGCCGAACTGTCTCTTTATCCTCTCCAATTCTTCTTGGGTGAGAACCGAGAAGACCTCAAGAGATTCATCCACAGGAACATCCCGCGAAGACGAACCATCACCTTCTTCGGATCTGGACACTGAGAGTTCCATTCCGCAGTCTGCAACGCCGATGGATAGAAGGTCATTTTAGCCATCGTACGTTGCCCCGTACGGCGGCATTGAACAAAGTCCCTAAACCCTAATAGTAACTCGAGCCGCATTCACGGCTTGAACCCAATTCCGGCATCGCGTCTTTGATGAAACACTAGGAGACCCAAAGCCATTGCACCCCCAAAATAAAGAGAAAAAGAGAGACTTTACCTTTTGGGGCGTGTGACCGAGGACGGTTCTTGTTTCGGATATCGGAGAGATGCCAATCGGAAAAGAAGAACTTCCGGTTTGCAAAGATTTTTCGCTCGAGGCAAAAGGGGTTTTAGTGGCATAATCTAAAAAATTTGGGCTTTTATATGAACTATGAATCGACGGTTACCACCCTTCGGAATCGAAACGACACACTTCTCTCTCTCTGCATTAAATGCGCCCCACGTCGCATTCAATGTTGTGATGAGGGTTGTCGTTTCAAGTGTGTCGTGCAATTAATGCTCTGTCAAAACAACGCCGGGTCAGCACACAACGCATTTAATGCGCCTGGTAGACGCCTGACACGCGCAGAGCGCCTGTCAGAGTAGAAACGACCTCATTAAATCCCCATCTCTAAAGCAGTAAGGAACGCCCGATGAAGCTAGGTCGCTTGGGTGATGGTTGTCAGGTCGTTTGGGCGAGGTTTGTGCGAGGTCGTGTTCGCAAAAGGCCCTGTCCCGAGCTTCTTCCATTCAAGTTGAAATTATCAGAACCTCCAATCGCGGCATGACTTAGTTTCCAAGGTTCGATCCTCAAACCTTAAAAACTAGGGGACTTCTGTTATGCTTGGGAAATCACGTGATGGGGGGTGACCTTCTCCCGTCAGAACGGTAAGCACACGTCAGGCCTGTCAGACGCTATGAAGCTTCCACGTGTCCATTTCCTGCTCCCAATCGCGTGAAATCAGCTTGTAAGGTGGACAATGTGACGTAAACCCGGATTTAGTCTTGACATTCACACCAGCCCATGGATTTAATGATAATTACTTGTACTCATCTCACTATAAAAAGAGGAAGACCCCTTCATTAAGGGAATTCGACTATTTTACACTCTGAACTAGCTTTCTCTCTCTCTCTCTTGTAACTTTGTATTTACTTTTCCCTAATCATTTGTAAGTCAGTCAACTGTTGCGACCTGACCTAAAATACTAATACAAATCAGTGGGCGTAGGACTTGCTACCTTAGCATCTGAACCACTTTAAAAAGCTCTCATTGCATTTACTCTATATTCTATCTATAATCACGTGTGTCTCTCGACCAATCAACGTTACGTATGTGTTGATTAGTTAGTATAAAAAATTACGCATCAACAATAATAAATGTTAATTGATTATTTTGCAGCCCTGAAGCAAAATTTATCGACAGCGTTGTGAAGGAAATATCAAGTAAATTAATTGGTTCAACTTCGAAATTTATGAATCTCAACAAATTAGTAGCTGGAGTAAATTATTGTTTAGAGAAATCGATGATGGTGGCGGAGACAATCAGAGTTGGGAGGGGCCATTCCATAGTTGCCCACCACTTTTTTTTGTTTTTTTAAATCAAACCTTTCCATCAGTGGGATTTATAGGCCCCACAGAAGACTCTGATTGTACCTTTCCACGCAGATAGATGTTCATTACTTTATCTTATTATTGTATGTGTCATTGTTTTTGGTTGTAATTTGTAATTTTAAAAGCATAAATAAAAATTGAGATTGAGACTGCCAAGTGGAGAGAACGCACCAGTGTTCGAAACTCCTGTAAGGCACTATTGAATATGGAGTTCTATTTATAAGATCAGAGTCAGACCATCTCATGCTTAACTCATTAATACTAGTTTATTTTGATTCAATGTTGTGCCTATGTGAAAAACCTACTTATGGGTTTTTGTTATTTACACCTTTCACACACTTTATACCTAAATATAATTATATTCTTAAACAAATAATAAATTTATATATAAAATTATTCATCAATCTTATTATTTTCATAGTTTTATTATTTAAAAGCTAAACCCAAAAATAATATTTAAAATAAAGTTATTGATCAATAACTTTTTTATATACAAAAATAATAATCATAATATTATTACTTCAAAAAATTATATATAAAGTTATTGATCAATCTTATAGATATATATAAGATAAAATAAATAAATGAAAGCAGTAATCCAGTGTTTAGTCCAATTGAGAGGTTTCTAAGATGAATAAACATGATGTATGTTGTCCTTGAGAGGATTGCCTTAGATTGAGTTTCCTCCTTGGTGTAGTAGGAGTCCTCTTATGGTAGGGATTGACTTGATAAGGTAGTGGGATAAGATATCTCTCATTTTAGGATGTAATCCAATATATATTTAATCACCATCTTTCGGTTGATCTTAATCCCTTTTATATGATATATCCTAATTATAATAGTATATAATAATGTTTAGGGAATATATATTAAATTAGGGATACGCTGAGAATATTCCCAGGTGTTATATGTCCGTTTTACCCTTGCTAAATTTCGGCACCATAGGTCATTTTCACAATTGTGTTAGACAGTTAGAGTGCATTTTGGATTGCTTTAGCTTACGAATTAAACAACAAAAGTGTTTGGTTAACAATTCTTAAAATTGATTAAGTTTGAAGTTGATTATAAAACAATCAGTTTTATAAAAGGATTTTGAAACCTAGTAAGGGTAGCTTTCAAAAATCAGATTATTTCTAAAGCTGATTTTACATTATAAAATGTCAAATATACCCACCCATACATAATTATTTAAATTACAAAATAAACTTAAATCAATATTTAGTTCCTTTAATAAATCAATATTAAAATAGAAGTGGTTACTGGCACCATTGGTAGTGTCAACCGCCATTGACTAGCTATCAACGCTGGCTAAACCATTGTCATTGAAGCCACAATTGTTCCCAGTCCATCGGATTCTGATGCTTATTTGGTATGCAAGAGGTGGTGAAAGATTCAACTGCCTTTTGTGATCTAAATATGCATCGGAATCTAATGAAATCACCAGATTCTTATAGATTAGGAGTTATCAGTCCCATCAGGACTAGCTGTGGCTTCAATGCGCCACTATTGATCGTTATTGACCACCAATCAACGGTGGTTTGACCGATGTTGACTGGCAGTTGACCACATCTAACCACATCCAATATTTTAAATTATAATTAATTAATAATTTTTTAATATAAATCATTTTAATACATTTTTAAATACAAATTTAAAATTATAAAAATATTTTAAAAAATAAAATATCTTTTTTGGTTGGAGAAAAAATCAGTTATCCACCATATACAATAGTTTTGAATCAACTTACCCACAGAATTTAGTTTTTGGGGTAATTGTGGACTTTTCAATCTTACCCATAGAATTTTCAAAAAAAAAAATCAATCGCCCCCTAAAACCCTAAACCCGTCCAAATTTATTAAAATACCATGGGTAAGATAGTTTTTTCATTTCATCCTTTTTTGGCCTTTCTCTCCTCATTTTTTTTTTTCACTTGTTCTCCTTTCCCCCACTTTTATTTTTCCCCTCATTCTTCCCATTTTTTTCTTTCTCCCCTCTTTTCATTTTTCCTTCCCTCCGTGAGCATCCATTGATCTTCAAACAAAAACAATTTTTTTCTTTTATCTCTTTCCTTTAATTATTTTTCCTTCTTCCTCTTTCATTCATTTCCATTTTGAAACAAAATTCCTCTTTCACTAATTTTCTCTCTTCCCTGTCCTACTATTGGAGCAAATGGAGGAGGGCGATTAGCGATTTTGTGTAATTGGTTTATTATTATTTTTTTTCTGGAGATTGGTGGTGGAGGAGACTCTCTATGATTCAAGCAAACGGGGTTTAAGAGGAAGAAGGTGGGCTACGTCACGTGGCCCGCCAATGGTGATGACGTGGCCAAAACAAAACAATAAAGAGAGTCGGCAGGTACACAGAAATTACAAAACAAAAACCGCTGCGATTTGTTTTAGGTACATTCCAGAAGCCAACACCAAGAACCGAAAACATAAACCAAATCTAAAATCTCTTCTGGGTTTTGAAGATTCAATCACATGGTGAGTTTTTCTTTCTTTTTTTTTAGACTTGATCATTTCTTCCTTCTTGCGATTTTCATTAGGGTTATAACGCCGCCACTTTCTGATCCAATTAGTTCATGGTCTTTATTTTCTGGGTTTTTTTTTCTTTATTTTTTTCATACGATGTTGGATTTGATATGGGAAGTTTGTGTTTATTTGGCAAGTCGATGGAGAAGAGATGAATTTGTTTTTATTTTTTTAATGTAATTTGGTTCAGGTTTTGTTTTTGATTGATTATGGAGTTCTTTGTATTATGGGTTAGCTGCTAAAATTTGCTTCTGTTGTAGGATACGGCGAAGAAGAGCGTTGTGCTTGTCTTTACAGACGATCAAGCTTTTTGTGTGAGTTCGATTTTTAATGCAACGAGAGAGCTCAGGGATGAAGCAGAGGAATACTGTGATCCTCACATTATCACTGAAGCATCTTCAATAAGTACTGTTTCCAATCTTCTTTTGGGTTTCATTTTCATATTTTCATAGTGTTTTTAATTTGTTTCAATCCTTTTTGTATGCAATGTTTATTGTTCAATTTGTTCTTCTGTTTTGACAGGTCAGTTGCCAATGGAGTCCAACTCTCTTGACCTTGTTATATCTATTAGTACTTCACTTGAATTTCCTGATGATAGGATGCTTGGCGAAAGCTCGAGAGTTCTGAAACCCAGTGGAACAATCTTGCTTTACAAGAAATTTAAGTCTGAGGAAGGGAATGCCGTTAAGGTATATTTTGTGTACTTTGTTATTTCTTTGTAATTTGATTGTACCAATGTATCTTATCAGGGCTTTCATTGCAGGCATTCTCGGCTCTTGAGCGCAAGTTATTGTTAGCCGGATTTGTAAATGCAGTTCATTTTGACCTAAAATCAGTTGTAGCAGCTGTAAATGTTCACTCGTTTGGGGTGAGTTTCTATTGTCACCTGGTAATTTTGGTATCATTTTCATTCCGCGTCCCCTTTTGTAAGTGTTTGGTTTATAATCGTATAGACTTGAATTGAGTCCTTGCTGGTTAAAGATTAGGTCCGCAAGAAATGATTAAATTACATTGTTCATTGATTTTCTTTTTATAATGAGGCCTATGTTCAGATGTGGTGTATGCAAATCTTGAGCCTTAACTTTGGGGTGAATGCAATTCATTTTTCAGGGGTATTTATTTATTGCTGAAGTTTATGGTGGGGTTCTGAATTTGAATACAAAATTTCAGTAGTTTGTTGTTGCATTTATTGCTTTTTCTTACTCATGCTTTTCAAGCAGCATTATATGAGGATTTCAACTTTCAATTATGCTCTGGAAGTTGAAAATTATGGCATATTGTTGCATTTTGAGAACTTAGATTATTTTTTCAATTGTTCATTTTACAATACATTAGTTGAATTTTTATTACTTTGCTACTTCTAGCTGAAGGGTAAGAAGCCTTCCTGGGAAGTTGGGTCTTCCTTTGCTCTGAAGAAGGCACCTAAAAGTTTATTGAAAGTTCAATTGGATGATGACTCTGATTTGATCGATGAAGATTCTCTCTTAACCGAAGAGGATTTGAAGAAACCACAGTTACCACCTGGTATGATGGCTAGATACTTAACTTTTTGTTTTTGTGAACTTTCTTAATTTTCTGTACCATCCTCTTAACAAAGAAATTGTGCAGTTGGTGACTGTGAAGTTGGAAGCACAAGGAAAGCTTGCAAAAACTGCACTTGCGGAAGGGCTGAGGCTGAGGAGAAAGTAGAGAAGTTAGGTCTGACTATGGATCAGCTGGACAATCCTCAGTCAGCATGTGGAAGTGTATGCCATCTAAACTCTGGTTTGATAACTGATTGTCCTGGTTTCCCTTAAGAGTTGAAGTGTATATATATGCTATCAATGCAAGTGTCTTAAACTTCTGGAAAAGAAGAAGGAAGAAACCATGATACTAAACGAATTTTTGAAGTAGCCCTTACTTCTATGATGGCCTCAACATAATGAGTCTTGTAAGATATCCTTTATAGCATAAAAATTGATTACATGTTCCCAAATAAAGCAAGGCATTAGGCTTGTATGCTTTTCAGGGTCTTGGTGATAGTTTGTGCAAAAGGAGTTAGAAACACTAGTTACAATGTTATTTTTATCTGTACTGTTTTGCACAAGTTTAGTTTTATCCTACGGATATTTGTTATTATCTGTGTAAGCGTACCAAATTTCTGTTCATCTATCATTGTTTAGTAGCTTGTGTTTGATCAATTGATGTTATTTGACTAATTATACACTTTTCAGTGTGGATTAGGGGATGCTTTTCGATGCAGCACTTGCCCTTACAAGGGTCTTCCGCCATTCAAACTGGGAGAGAAGGTATGGAAAATATTTAAGTGCTCTGTTTTCTTCTCTTTTTCTCCTGCTTGTTTTATGAAATTGGAGTCAATGTATCAATGCAGGTTTCGCTCTCTAGCAACTTTCTCGCTGCAGACTTTTAAATACAAATTTGTAGGTGGTTTTTTGCATCTTGTGCTTGTGGGCTATGGATACATTAACAATAGGCACTGCCAATGTAAGTTAATAATTTCAAGTTTTCTGATTGTAGTACGTTCATTTTGCGTTGTAGCTTTCAACCATAAGACAACTAATCGAAGTAGATGATATATATTTTTTTTCTGGTACGCATCTTGTACTTTCGAAAACTAGCCAGTGCATATGGCTGATGAAACTACTTAATTTCCTGATTCTTGGTGAAAATGGATAAGCAATTACACACTTGTTGAAATGCTATTGCTTGTGCTGAATGTGTTTAGTGACTAGCATAGATTAAGTTTAATCAAACTTAGTGCCATTCATTGTATGAATGACATGGCAGCTTCTTGTTGAATTACTATTCAAATTTGAAAAGAATTTACATCCCAGTATACATATATATATGTATATAGTGTAGACACTTGTACAGATGGCTATTCGCGACATTTAAAAAGCTTAGTCGGTGGTTTGGTCTGCACTTAATTAAGTTTGGATGGTCCAATCCTTCTCTACATTTTTACTATGTACAGCAGCATTTTTGCTGCTGGTGTTAGCATATAGATAGCTATTCGCTTTCTGGCCATCTCACCCACGCCAACGATGTTGCTACATTGCGGCTTTTTTGCTGCTGGTGTTAGCATCAGCGGCTAGTTTGCCTTCCGGTCATCTCACCCTCGTTTGACAGTCAAGAATACTCACCATTGTACTACAACTGACTTGATGTCTTTAACTTTTAATTAATTTAAATTAAATGTAATTAGGTATTGTGTATGTATTAATTGAATAATTTAAATTAATCCAAATTAGACATAATTACATCGTTTTCTTCTAATACATTAGTTGAATTACTCAATTCTAACTTATATGCGAAAACATTACAAAAAAACATGAAAAAAAATCATTTTAAATTAACCCATATTAGGCCGTAATTGGACATTGTTTTCTTCTCCATGTATTAATTGAATTACTAAAGTCTAAATCATTTGCGAAAACATTATACAGAACACAGAAAAATAATCGTCTAAGTTGTTTTAATTGTAATAGGAAGATAACTAAGTTTTAAAATCTATTACAATACCACTCGATAATCTCTAACGTCAAATTTAATATTGATATGTAAATTTTTATTGTATCCTCTCAGCATAAATTTTTAGTTCCATCACTGTTATTGGTATTATGAAATTGTAAAATCTTAACCTAATTAACTATGTAATATTAAAAAATGATTATTAATACACAGCAATATCACTTGTCTCTCCTGCAACATTTATCCTAAGATTAATTAACAATCATTAACATTATAAAATACATAACTTGAAAAAAATATGCTTCATTTATTTTATTTTATTTCTTCTATTATACGTTTTAAATACATGTTAACCGATTCCCTTAAAATAAAAAAGAATTTGTAGAAGTAAGAACTCGATGGTTCATGAAAGACATAGAATTGATTTTTCATAGGGCCCTGAGAGATAAGGAAGTATCATTGGTCCCCAATGTCTTAATGAGAATCTGGTTTCAAGGGGGTTTTCTATACTTTCCAAAAACTTGAGAGCGAATGAATTTTCTTTCTTTCTTTAAAGGAGTAGAGAATAGAAACCCATATGACCAAAATGTCCAAATGAAAAACTCTTAAAGGCTTACACCAAGAGTATAAAAATAACAATAATATAAAAAAAGAAAAATTTACGAAGTGTTTCAATGAATATGTATGCATCAAGATGAATGAAAAGTTCCATTTTTATGTCCAATTTGGGGAGCTTTGTTATTAGCCTATGTCTTCACAAGAAGTTTAGGAATGATCAAATAACTTTACTATTGCAATATAAACATAGTAGTAATACAAACAATCATCGATCCACAACTCTTGAAGAGAGGTGAGATTTTGATAATTCCTAATGAGATAGATATTTCAGGTTGTTAAATCTAAACCCAATGATTCCAAATTTTCAGGTTAACAGTTCATGTTATCATGGATTCTTGCAGGCATAGGAGTTTTGAAAAAGTTTTATCCTGCTGCATGGAATATTGCAGTTATGAGTATGGTACTAGGATTTTTGAAATTTTTTTTTTCTTTTTTTTTGTATTTTTGCATTTATGAGTTTGGCACTAGGAGTTTTGAAAAGTTTTTATCCTACTGCATGGAATATTGCAGTTATATTGAAACCGTGGTAAAGAAAATAAGAAGAGTTTGTGAATGAGTAAGTATTATCTCGGTAAACATCCGTTGGATGGTGGAATTGAGATCATCATTCCAAATATATTATCTAGTAATCTAAATTTTATTTTTTAAAATTTTTTTTGGTGTGCTTAAATTTCCTTGAGTAAAGATCTCCAATTTTGGGCATTGACTAACAGATACTTGTTCCAAGAATGGGAATTTGAAGGCAGAAGTTGTTGAGCAAAAGCATGTGAGGCTTGATAAATAATGAAGCTTCATAGTTTTCAACTGGCGAAAAACAATCTCTTCTATCTAGTCAAATTCACTTACTATTACTTCTCTCAATAACTTGCGTTCTCTTATTCTTATTTTTGAGAGTTGGAAAAGAGATTTGACGCATGTAAATATTTTACCAATCCATTGCAATTCCGAACATCCAGACTTTGTTAGATTTGTGATTAAAGATGATGAGGATAAATGTGTCAAATGATGGCATCCAAGTAATTTCTAATATTTGGAGGAATTGATTCCAGTTGAGAATCTTCTTTCCTAGCAGCTGTTTCATTGGAATAACTAGAGTAAGGATTTCCAGACTGCATAACCTTTCAAGGAAACGAAAGAGAAAAGCAACTGACTCAGACAGCAGAAGGCGTTTTAATCCCAAGGTGGAATATTAGTCTAACGCTATTGACATTTAAACCCAATGATTCCGAATTGGGCATGGCCTGTAATTCAAAATGAATGAACAAGCAAAGAAGGTTTTATCGACTACAGTCTCCAACGACTGAATTGTAACTGACTCTTGTCTTTACATTAGCTGAATTTAATCATGCAAAACTAACAAAAGTCGTAGGGAACTAATACATCCTTTTTTCCTTTTATGGTCATTGCAAGAATTTTGAATATTGCAGACATACATTTGTATAATTTACTAAATTATAATCATACTTTTCTTGTATCAAAAACGGATATTTGATCAGTGAAAATATTAAGCTCATTGAGAGTTTCCAAAGATATAAGATCGGTCTAGCCACACACAGATTACATACAATGTAAACCTCATGCAAATGTACAAAGGAACACTACACTTTCTTATCTGCCAATGCCCTTTCAAACGATCCACAGATTTATAAGGGAGAAAATGATTGATCGTGGTGCTCGTTGGAGGTTGAACGCTCTAATACCATAAAAGATATAATATGAGATGAATTTGATTGATTATTTATAAGGATGTTATGGCTTTACATTTGCTAACTTCAACTTTGCTCAGACTGGAAATAAAACCATCTGGAAATATATATCTCAAGACAATTCGATCTTTAAGGGAGTATATCATTGCCTTCTGAATAAAAATGGAGCTCCATGTCCTATTAGAAGAAGAGCACCTGTCCAACAAATACAAGCGACTGGATTTTTAGAAAACATTGATAACTGCTCAATGGATAATGAATTTATGCCACTGTTAGAAGTGAAAACAGTTAAATTTTAACATAGAAAGTGAAAATTAGCTGCAGAAACAAGACTTTCAAAGAAAAAATATACCTCTGAAATCACTTCCTTCCTTCTAGTCTCCACATCAATAGCATGAAATATTAGCAAAAAACTACAAACAATGCCTACAGGCCTGCAAATCATAGCCTTTGAAAAAGGCTTCAACACTACCACTCAGAAAAATTTCATAAAGCTGTGCTGAAATCTTTTGCACCTGTAGGAATCCAGCTAAAATCTTCAACCACGTAACTTTTGAAGTTCAATTCTGCAAAATAACTCCAGAATTTCATCATTCGAGATCAAAGCATAGTCTTTGTGGCATTTACCAGGGTTGGTCTAAATCTTCTAATTAAGGCTTCCCCAGGCAGAAAGTATCATTCCCTTTCACATCCAAATCCTGCTCCAGCTCTGACTTAGAAGAGAAACCAACCATCCGGCAAACACATAACACCAACTGGAATTTAAAAAAAAAAAAATTCAAATTATAAAAATTAAATGTTTAATTCAAGGAGTGTTTAATAAAATTTTGATATATCAACACTGAGAATTCAAATTGTATACATAGTTTAGACTGTTCAGTTGGCTCAGCCCAAGTTATTAACAATTGAACACTTAATTTATTTTGTAAAAATCTTAATAGCCCGTTAGAATGAAGCAAGGTACTATACTAATTCAACCTCTTCATTCAATTTTAAGATCTAATAGAGTTCATTCTTCCTCCTCTGTATTCTTACATTATAGACTATTGTCTTTCAACTTAAACATACAATCAATAATACTAAAGGAATTTACATACATGACTAAACAAAGAAAGCAACCAACTAACAAGTTAAATTCTGTGTCAGCGATTGCCAACATTCTTATTTTCTGTTGCACCTGACTGACTCTATTCTTAAATTGTTGCCATAAATTTATGTGAATAGTAACATCTTAATTTTCTCAAATCTTTTTTTGATTGAGCAACGAATGTCTTAACAAAATTCCTTCTGATTCTACCACATTTCTTCTTGCTTCAATTTTTCTTAGACACTAACCTAACAAATTAAAATTACCCTAAATGTTTACTAAACTCATAAAAGTTACTGCAAACATAATTCTTCTAAGAAAAATCTTGCTTCGTAAATCAAGATTCAAACCTGCCTTTGAGCAATTGCTCATTAAATGTAGGAAGCTTGAATACTTTATTTCATTTTACCAAGCAGAGACTAGCTAATGTTTAATATCTTCAACAAGAATAAATATTTTATTACATGAAAATAGACATGAAACTCAAAGCTGGTAGTGCAAATAACAGATTCACAAACAGCATACTGCAAAGTTGTTTGACAACATACTTGAGAAATCGCCAAATCAGAATGCAAAAACAAATCCAAACAGTAAAGCAACTGGATGAAGGTACAGTCAAGGGGGCTCCACTACTCATCAAATTTCAGGACAGCACCAATGAAGACAGCAGAAACAAAGTCCTTCATCTTCGGGAAACAATATAAAAAGCTAGTCTTACCCCAGCTTGCATACCAAGAATGACCTCAATCTTCCTTTGAACTCCGCACATTCTATAATATCATAAACATGGCATATTGAAGTCAACAGAATAGAAGATACACTAGAAATTAACATACAATTTTTGGTTCATTATTAGGTTATTTACCGAATTAATTTGACTTTAATAAAATTATAAAAATAATTTTAATATTTATTTAATGAAAATAAAGTTAATAATGTATTATCCTCTTTCAGCAAAAGACACAAGAAATATTGAAGAATACAAGTCTTCTCAATCATTAATGGAATGGTGTTTATATTAGATGAATTACTTAAGTGTGCATATAAGCTCGTAATCAATCAAAACTGGAATAAAACTCATTTTATCCTGCGAAAATGAAAAAGTGGATCAGAAATTAAATTTCTGTCTCAATCATTTTTTGAACCCAAAAAACCTGGTCAAGCACACATCAAAATCAAAATCAAAATCAATGAATAAGCAAGTAGTGTTTAATGTCCACTCATCAACAAGTTCCATATGGTTATAAATAGTTCCAATAAACTTTTCATCTTTGCATTATAGCCTTTGAGCCAATCAAGTAATACCCAGAGTAGAAACCTAAAAACTTTTATTCTCAAGAAATTGTTTTGAACATGATATTGAATCAGTTCTTGGTTTATGAAATGCAAAATCTCATTTTTCATTTTCATTCCACGAAATAATTTTTCAAAATGAACTGGGTAAAAAAAGAATCCAAAAAGTATCTTGCATTTCAAACTTACCAATATTTACCTTGCGTATGCCAATTTATTAGGACAGTGTCTAGAGATTGCTCCAATTAAATTAAAAAGCTGCAGTTAAATTAAAAACATGAAGTTAAAACCAAACAAATTTCATACCATGCCAGGAACAAAAAAATTGATCGCACCAATCTTGGATCTCAGTAAGTTGGAAATTAAATAGTGATCATCAAAATATGATATATACCTTTATCACTTTGGAAAATATCCAGAGTCGAATGGTTCATGAGTAAGTTAACTCGCCAGTAAAATGCTCTTGAGTAAAGTAACATATGAGCAAAGGTAACTCTTGCTCAAGGAGTAGAGTATGACTATAGGATCAGAGTGTAAGTCTAGGAGCACAATCAAGTTACTTAGTCATGTAATGACCACGATAGTCCCGAAGGGAAAGTCATGAGTCGGTAGAGTACAAGTGTGTGCTCAGCAAATAAAATCTAGTGCATTAAAGAGAAAATCCTCGTTAGATCATGAATCAAGAAAAAAGAGGATATTTCCTAAATGAGCCTATATACATAATAGGATTCTGAAATATTTTTGGGATTCCTTACCTAATGAATACCGTGTCAAAGGGTACTGGCAATCTCCTCTTAAGACCATACTCAAAGCACAGTAGAGATGATATTACCAAGCTCTAATTGGCGGTTTACGATGGAAGCACATGTTCTCACCCTACACTGAAAAACTATCATCAACAATATATGCGTAAAATGAAATTACACATCCAAATTTCATGAGATATCTATATAGTCAGAAATGCAGATATAAATCTCAGCTGCTAATGAGTAGTTGGTTAGTAGAATTTGTCAAATTAGGCAGTATAGTTGAATTTGTCAAAGAAAAATAGAACAGAAGGGCATACTTTGCATCAATAAAGCCCCAAAGCAGCACATGAAGCTTCATCCTTGATGGAGCCAACCCAAAACCTTAACAGTAGCACAATCAACAAAAGCAAAACCATGGACAACTGAATCATTAGTCAACCTATAGTTCCCATGAAAACAAAATACAATGCAACACACTTAAAATACAATGAATTTTCTGGATACTAAATAACTAGGGTCGTTATGAGATTGACCTTATAAATCCTAGTGATTTATGTTTAAAAAATTGGTGAAAGGGAGTCAGTTATTAATTGGAGAATGAGACAAAAGCGAGAAAATTAATATCATAGAATAAGGGCAACCAAGCCAGCTAAAATCTCAGTATCTAGGCAAGTAGATCTTAGCTCCATTAAGCATTCAAAGGATTTAACTCCATTAACATTATTAAAGCTAAAATTAGATTTCATCAATGAGCATTTATAATTAGCTAATATATATTACACTATGACCTTAATAGTTAATATCACAAAATAAAAGTATTATTGACAAAAGTGAAACTCAACCAAATACTCTTGCCACAAAATAAAAAAAATTTGCCAACTCCTCATAAGCATTGAAAGCTAAACTACTCAAAGCTCAGAAGAAAAACTCAAGAGCAGAATACCCTTGCCAACCCCAAAATTTCTGATCAGTAAAATTAATCATCATTTCTCATTTTCATGGACTGCCTTGCAATTTGATAGGTAATAGGATAAAATTAACCATTTAGTTATTTATTTTACTTCTGTTATTATCCTCACCAGATTAATGACCATAACATAACATGTACTAGCTATGGTATAACTGATAATTGTATATGTTAAGATCACCTTGAGTTTCTTTAGGAAGCAACACGACACTAATGGATCACTTCAAAATCAACTCCCGCTAATGCAAATATACCTTGGGGCTCAGATCTGCTTAAATAACTTCAAAGCATCCCTTGTGTTCGACCACTGCTCCTGATGTATCCTCTCCTGCATAAACAGATGCAACACAGTAATACAAGATTCATCATAAAGAATAGAGCAAGTAAGAATGCCTATAATTTAGTAAGGAAAAAAAAAAAAAAAAAATATATATATATATATAGTTAAAAAAAAAAACAACCAATCAGTGTATACCTTTGTGCAGACATCACAATAGCAGGCAAGCTTTTGATATAAAGAAGACATTTTAATGTGGTGTATCATGTGTCACCACCAAAAACCATATCTTGTACTAATGCCAATATTTCTCTCCTGGAATTTTTAAGCTGGCATTTCGTGCAACATAGGTTCAAAGCAACCCAATAATAATACTGCCCCAAGTTTACATAATGCTTTCCACAGGGTCAAAAATTGAAGGCAGGATAGGTCAAAGAGCTTAATGTGTCTTTGTACAACTATATTATGCATCCATAAAAAGAAAAGTGAGTTGCACAACTCACATGAGCAAATTTACAGAGCACATTCACAAATAAAGATGTGACACATGGAAGAACACTGAAAGACTAATTCCTTATGAATCATTGAATCTAAGAATTGCATTATTCAAGAACAAGCAGCCAATATTTTTTTAGGAGTTTTTACTGTAATTTCCAGAACAATTATCTAAAGAAGCTATATAATATATCTAAGAATTCTGATCAACTTTGGGAAAAGCTTGCAGAATGTGTCAAAGTTTAATTTTCGGATAAATTGAGAAAAAGCTATACATGGACAGTATAATATCTATTTTTCTCTAAGTGAACTAAGAAGGAAAATTAACCTAATCATAAATTCTTATTTACAACCTCTTGGTAGCAAATAAATTAGGAGAAAGTACAACTACAATTATGATCAAAATTACCTGTCTCCTTCACGTGTAACTTTTGTAGAAGAAAAGCCATTATCGAGTATTGGTGAACCACTCAAAAACTTTTCATGCTCAGAAATGGGATGACATGGTAAAGAGCTAGTTTGCCCTGAATTCCCTCTCTCACTCCTTCCAGTTTCTTGGTCTTAAAAGAAACTGACCTAGGACTACTTGAACCCTCATCATCCTCACCAATATCAAAACAACCTCTACATCAATAAAGGGAAAAAAGTATTACAGGACGAAATGCTATCTTTTTTTCTAATTTGCATTAATATTACACAAATGCATAAAAATTGTAATGATTACATGAACTTTCTTAAGAGAAAGCGCATTAATGAGTATTAGTGAACCACTCAAAAACTTTTTACCCTCAGAAATGGCATGACGTGGTAAAGAGATAGTTTTCCCTGAATTCTCACAGTCACTCCTTCCCTTTCTTGTCCAAGGCCCCTGGTAAGTCTTTGTAAAAAACTGATGCTCAATATTTAGTTGGGCAGTAACCTTCCAACTAGGACTAGTTGTACCCTCATCATCCTCAGCAATATCAAAACTACTCTGCATGAATAATGGGAAAAAATAATTACAGGTTTTTCTCATTTGCAATTTTAGTTCACAAATACATAACAATAGTAATGATAAGAAAATAAGAAAAATGAATAGGAGAATAAAAGTTTATTGAGTCAGCATTTGTTTTTCCATTCCACTCAATTCACAAACAATTTCATACTGAAAACTTCTGGAAAATACATTCCACTACCCTGCAAGACAGTTAATGATATTGATGAAGTTGTTAGCAACTGAAGATGAGAGGAAAATTATTAATCATTACTTCAACGCTTGCAAGTTGCAATGGTTTGATAGGAAATGAAGCAGGCGAACTCTCCAAATCGTGAATGTTGAAGCCATCCTTAAATAAACAAAAGTAAAAAGAGGAAATCTGAAGAAACTGAAAGCTTAAAAAAAAAAAAAAAAAAAAAAATCTAAAAAATACTTTAGCTCATACCTCCTGACTTGGAACAGCACTAGAATGGTTACCCCTCTCTGGGAATAGGCTTCCAGCTGGGACCCCAACACAATCATAGCTGTCTCGTTGCCTCCCTCTCCCATTAATCTTGTGCATTTGTTGTATACTGTCATCCTGAATATGCAGGCAACACAGTGCTTTTGATATAGTCCAAAGCAAGAATGCAAGTTTTAGACCAATGAAATAGTAAGGAAATAAATCAAACTGATAACATTAATTTGGTTATCAAACTTTATCAAGGAAAATAAAATAAAGTAAAAGTAGGCGCCCATGTCTTACACTAGAATTGAAAAATAACATAAACGCTGTATTCAGAGCCTTATTCTATACAAATAGATCTGCCTACTTTTGTTATAAATAAAATGAAATCGGAGATCCATTCTGTGTTGGAGTACAAAGAAATAATTTGTTTTATTAAATAAATTCAATTCATGTCTTGTTTATATGAATCTAAATATCTAATTAAGAAATCTTCCATGTAGCATTATTTTGACAAAAAAAAAAATGCATCTCTTTCAAACATTTTATCAAACAACTCTGCAGCATCACTTAACTTCATCAATCAAAAACATCTACAGGTCTTTTATACAAAAATATCAAACATCAAACTGAAGCTTCAGTTTAAAAATAATTATCAAAGTCACAACTAAGCGAAGCTTCAGTTCTAAAACACAAATATCAAATCACAATTATACAAAGCATTTACTCTTAAAATATAGTTTAAAAGTAGAGCAGAATGATTTTGCTTACCTGCCGCTCGTGACGGAGAGTGCTAGAATCAATGCCGCCGATGACGGTGGCTCTGTGGCTTGTGACATCATTTGCTAGAAACACCAGTGCCGCTTGAGCTGGCTTCCGTTGACTGTAACAATGGAGACTTGAACAAGATGAAAAGTGGCCGCTTTTAGAGTGACAAAGATACATGGTTGGTTTTATTTAATTTAACACATATTTATTAAAGGGAATTGGATTTAATTATAATAAATTTACTATCATACAGATAAATATTTATAAAATCTCTTAATTAATATATTTATATATTATTGTTCAAACTTTTTAGTCTATATATACAAACCTATTTAGTCTAATTATACACAAAATATGGAATAGTATTATAAATTATACAATCATATCTAATCTGCTTCAATTCAGTAGTAGTAAAGACATGTATATTGATATTAATAGCAAAGGTGGTAAAGAAGATAAAAGAAGATTTTGTAGTAAATACCATATCTGTAAACATTTGCTGAATGTTGGACTCGAGCCAAACATATTTTCTATTCATTTGCTGAATGGTGGAATTGAGATCCTCCGTCCAAACATGTTCTCCATTCATTTCCAGTGTTGGTTGCACCCTATTTAACTTTGGTGTGCTTAAATTTCCTTGAGTAAAGATCTTCAATTTTGGGCATGCAATCGCAATTACTTGTTCCAGGCATGAGAATTTAAAGGCATAATTTTCTGAGCAGAAGCATGTGAGGCTTGCTAAACAACGAAGCTCCAAAGTTTTCAACCGGCAAAAAATGATCTCTTCTTCTGTCTTGTCAATTTTATTTGCTATTATCTCTGTCAGTAATTCGCATTCTCTAATACTCATTTCTGTGAGTTCAACAAGACTTTTGACAGTTGAGCATATAAATATGTTTACTAATCCATTGCAATCGTATACATCCAGAGTTGTAAGATTTGTGAAAGATATTGAGGATGTCCATAAATGTGTCAAATCATGACATCTCCATATGATCAGGTCTCTAAGATATGGAAGAAATGGATCCACTTCAGAATCTTCTTTCGTTGTGTCACTTTCATATAGGAATAGCTCCTTGGACGTACTATCATAGAGACTAAGGATTTCCAAACTGTATAACCTTTTGAAGAAGCCATAGAAAAATGGAATTGATTCATCATCTAACTCAGCCAGCAAAAGTTCTTTTAGTTTGCAGAACCCCTTATATGGAACATGGTTGTGGCTTATTAGTCTAACGCAATCGACATTTAAACCCAATGATTCCAAATTGGGCATGACCTGTAATTCAAAATGGATAAACAAGCAAGAAGGTTTTAATGACCAAATGGTAAACATAGATAATAAGATTTTTACATATGGTATTAGTGTCATATTATTGACCAACAAGAAGTCAATTCCATTGATTAACTTTTTAAGAAAACGATAAGCAAGCAAAATCATGTGATCAAATTTTTTTGTTAAAAAAAAAAAAAAAAAAAAAAACTAATTGTATTATATTGATGTAAAACGGAAATGTAATAGGGAGAAGGAAGAAACAAATTTGGAAAAAGAAACTTGTAATCAGTATAAAATCAATAATATCTAACAGATGAAACAAGACCAACCAATTAGTTTACTGCCATTCGGTTTCAGAAGGAAAAAAACTTCACTCGATGACTTATATATATCACCTCAATTGTAAGATGTCTATTAAAGGAATATGGAAATAATTATCAGCAAGGCCACAGAATTTGTATCGTGAACATGTCATATTAATCTAAGTGATTGTGTTACATTTTATAAAAATAGTATAGATAAATTCGTACCTTTTCAGACAAAGCAAGGGAAGGTTGAGTCTCTTCATCTGTATTTTGAACCGTAAGATATTCTGAAGCAAATTTTTCAATCTTTTCACAATCATTCACCACCAACTGTTTTAGCATTGGCCACTCTATTGTATGCAAACCCAAGTAGAAATGTTTTGAGTTCTAGTAACTGATTAAGTATGAGGAAGGTTAATTGGGGAAACAAAAATCTAGGGGTCCCATCTACTTCCTCCATGGTAACAATTTCCTCCAGCCCACATAACTCTATCTGAAACTCTTTAAGTTGCATGAGATCGGTAGCTATGGAAACTAGAAACAAACTTTTCATCTTCCAACAGTTTTCAACAGTTAATGTTTCTAGATTGTGAAAAGTAAGAAGTCCTTGACAATTATTAGCTGGAACAATAGTCATTATTTTTTCGCAAAATTTGACTGTCACGTGTTTTAGTTTGCAAAATGAATTTGCATGGGGTTGGTTGTGCCATATCAGCTGCAAATTATCCAAATGTAACAATAGTATCGCCTCCAAATTTGGAAAAGCAACCTGCAACAAGCATTTGGGGGTAAGCTTCCGAAATTATATTGATAATAATAATAATTTTAATGAGGTGACTAGGCAAACCAAAATATAACTAAAGTATTTTGTCTTCTTAGAAACCACGTAGCTAAATTAAAAGTGTATTACCGTCAGCCATGCAAAACAAGCAAATTTTTAATAATTGTAGATAATGATAATAACATAGATAGCTACAAAGGATAATAAAATTAAAAAGGAAATATAATCTAGAAGAAAAAAAATGCATGCATTGAAGTTTCAAACATACAAACCTTTTCACTGAAAAGGGGCGCAACATGGTCAGATTGGTGCTTCGTATAAGTGAAAACAAATGTCTCAATCTGTAGACACTCGACTACTATAATAGCTTTCAAGGCAGGACATTCCAAAGTCTTCATTCCTGAATAGAAGCTTGTTAAGTTAGGCAATGACTCAAGAATAATGGAGTTCAATTGGGGTATCATAATTTTCTCAATGTCTGCTTCCTTTTCTTCTTCTTTCAAGATGATTTCTTCCATTAAAGCACAGTTTTTAACTTCTATTTCTTGAAGTTGAACAAGACCCAAAATGATAGACGGAGTAAATATACGTCTCAAGTTACAACAATTGTGAACTTTACAGGATTTCAGGTTCTTGAAGTCCAAAACTTCTTGATGACTTTCCTTCAATGTATGTCCATCAGCATTTAGTTGTCCTTGCGTATCAATCACCTCTTTTAGTGAATCACAACTTCTTATTTCCAATGTTTCAAGATTTTTAAGTTGCACAACACATTGAATGGAATAGCAATTGATGTGTCCAAAGCACATGTCCAAAACCAAAAACTTTAAACTGTAGAATGAGCTGGCAGGAACTTTTGTGTTCCAAAATCTTTCTTCTAATGTAGGGAATTCAGAGAGTTTTAGATGTTCAAAGTTGCGGAAACCAACCTATAAAACACAAAATATTTGGTTAAAATCTGTTACAAGTGGCCAAAACAATTAAAAAAAAAAAAGGAATTTCAAGCATAGCAATATTAATTCACATCCATGGGGAGTTGCTGATCATTAATACAAATTTCATATTCTTAACAAAAGGTTTCATCCTTGTACTATTGTTCTTTGTTATAAAACACTGCCTATGGGTAATTCTAAGATGAGTTTTAAGGACAAATAATGCCAAGGACAAGAGAAGACAATTCTTTTGTCATATTAATGTCTTTTTTTAACAAAACAAAAAAAGATAACACACTTTCCAATATAAAATAATGATGTTAATGTACCGAATAATTAAAATCGCCAAAAACTTGTACACAAAACATGTGGAACAATTTATCAATAATTTTCTACTCTTTAAAAGACATGAAAAATTATATCCACTTCTATATACACAATATGTTCAATTAGAATTATATAACAATAACAAATGCAAAAGGAACTTCACGGACAGGAAGAAAAGAAAAGATGCACTATTTATTTATATATAATATGCTGAAAATAATAACCGCATAAGGTAGAATGGTACAGAATTAAAAAAAAAAAAAAAAAAAAATCTTATCTTCACAATTTTTCGCGAGAAAAAAACAACATATATGGTTTTGTTTCTTAGTTTTTATTTTCTAATTTGGTTAGGTTTTATATATATTGTTTAGCTATAAGTAGTCTAATACTTTTAACCTTACATTACAACCTTTGGACCCAATCAAGTAAGATCTAGAATAGAAAACTAGAAATTTTTATTCTCAAGAAATTGTGTTCTGAATACAATATTGAATCAGTTGTTGGATTATGAAATATGAAATCTCATTCGTTAAAAATAATTTTTCGATATCAACTTGGTATATATATGATTTGAGATATATGGAGTCCTACAGTTAAATTTTTTTTTATTACAGTAGTTGTGGAGGCTTGGATCATGGATTGTTACAAGAACAGGAGTTTGAGAAATTAACAGCCTTGTTATCTAAGTAATAACTCTCGCACTCATGATTTTGGCACTGTCGTTGCATTCTTACTCATTTTTAAATTAAAAAAGTGACAATAAAAAATA